CAACAGCTCCCTCCCCTCCCCTAATCCTAGTGCAAGACGCTTGTGCCCAGTATCACGTCAGCAAAGGGTTTATTGGTTTCTGTGGGGCACTGGGGTCCCTGTGCGAGGGGACCCCCATCCTCGTGCGAGGGCCCCTCCAGCAGCAGGAGACACCACGGCAGGGGGGCAGGGGGGAGGGCAATAAAGCAGCTGTTTCAATGGCAACACAGCCCAAACTAAATGCTACTGGGCCCTATCTTTCCACACAGTGCGTTATCTTCTGGCCACCAGACCCGAACTACCTACAGAGCGGCTGAGGGAGCTGGGGTGGAGGAGAAAAGGAGGCTGAGAGGAGACCTTCTCGCTCTCTACAGCTCCCTCAGAGGAGGATGCAGCCAGCGGGGGCCTGTCTCTTCTCCCCAGGAACAGGACAAGAGGAAACAGCCCCAAATTGCGCCAGGGGAGGTTCAGACTGGGTATTAGGAAAAATGTTTCCACTGAAAGGGTTCTTAAGCATTGGAACAGGCTGCACAAGGAAGTGGTTGAGTCACCACCCCTGGAGGTGTTCACAGGCTGGGTAGACACAGTGCTTAGAAATATGGTTTTGTGGTGGGTTTGGTCAGTGTTAGCTTGAAGGTCGGACTCGATGATCTGAAAGGTCCCTTCCAACCCAGGCAATTCCATGAACCCCATCGACCTCAGTCCAGTGGGAAAGTGGAAAGGATGAACCACACGCTTAAAACACAACTGAGCAAAATGTGTCAGGAACCCTCTATGAGCTGGACTCAAGCTTTCCCTCTGGCTTCAGTAAGAATGAGGGTTCAGCCTGGGGGCAGACAAAGTCTTAGCCCCTGTGAGCTCAGGGATGGAAGGCCACACCAGACGCCTGGATTACCAGGGAATTGAGGATTCAGGGAGAAATGGATGTGTGGAACTGGGGCCAGAAAAGTGGACAGGACCCCCAAACTGGACAGGATCTTGCACTTCAGGGGCACTAGTTCCTAACGTAACTGCAGTCAAAAGGGTTAGGAAGGCATCACAAATAAGAACTTATGTAAAAACTATACTATAACTGATATTACTAACTTGTGTAAAAACTTCTATTAAAATGAAGGCCCTTCCTGCTGCCATTTGCTTGTCAAACAAAGTCCATCTTTATTGTGTCCTTGTTCTCCAGGCCACAAACATCCTTTCTTACCTAAGTCCTTATAGGAGGGTCACTAAAACCAGCTACGTTTCTACTCTAAAAGACCAATCCCTACAGTTTTAACCATTTGGGGAAGACCTAGAGTCTACTTTAGGTATGGATGGGGGTGCGGGACGTGGGGGGCTCACTTTCTGCGGGGGGTGGTCCCCACGGGCCGGCTGGCCGAGGTGGGCAGGGGGGGAGGCGGGGGGGGGGGTGGGATGGCCGGGCGGCCGTCGGGGCTGGCGGGGGCTGCTCCCTGCTTCTCCGTGGCCCCTTCTCCAGGCGCAGGCGACGGCTGCTGCTGCTGGGTCCGGCTCTCCGAGGTGCCAGCACGGGCAGAGCGGCTGTCGGGGCGCGAGGGGCGGCTGGGGGAGCTGTGCTGGGCTCTCGAAGCTTTGGCCAGGCGCCTGCGGAGAGAGGAGGCTGCTGAGGACCTGGGGTGGTTGGACACGGGGGGCTCCGTGCAGAAAAGGGGGCTCCGGGCAGCCCTGGGCTGGGGCTCCTCTCCTCTCCACCCTGACCCTCCTGACTCCTTTCTCCATGGACCTGGCAAAGACCAGCTCTCGGCTCCCCTGCCCAGCCCTGGCCAGACCCGGGGACCTCCCTGAGGTGCTCCCCGTCCCCTCCTCAGAGGAGGGAGCTGCGGGGACACACACGCTGCTGCGGGGACACACACACACGCTGCTGCTGCAGGGGGACACACACACGCTGCTGCTGCAGGGGGACACACACACGCTGCTGCTGCAGGGGGACACACACACGCTGCTGCTGCAGGGGGACACACACACGCTGCTGCTGCAGGGGGACACACACACGCTGCTGCTGCAGGGGGACACACACACGCTGCTGCTGCAGGGGGACACACACACGCTGCTGCTGCAGGGGGACACACACACACACACGCTGCTGCTGCAGGGACCAGAGCCCCACCGTTGGTGATGGGACAGACTTGGCTGCTAGGGCGGCCATCTTGGCTGCTAGGGCGGCCATCTTGGCTGCTAGGGCGGCCATCTTGGCTGCTAGGGCGGCCATCTTGGCTGCTAGGGCGGCCATCTTGGCTGCTCACCTTGGCCAAAGGATCGATGGCATCACCCAACAGACGTTGGCCACCACCCAACTCGGCACCCCAGAACCCCCGACCTCTCCAAGCTTCACGGCTCAGAGCAGCCCCCCAAGATGTTGGGCACCTGCCCCCCACAACAACTTACTCTTTCCTCTGCTTCCACACGCAGAACCCACAGCACAGGATCATCCCAAACAGCACCGAGCCCAAGATGGCCATGGCACCTTCTGTGCAAAGCCTCCGAAAGTCTTTAGGGTCCACGGAAAACAGGTTTCTGGTGTCTTCCAGACCTGGAGGAGCAGTTCTGTCCGTCAGCGTGACCTCACAGGAGGTCCCACGTGGCCAGCAGATGTTCTCTCTCCCTTTGTCAGCATCTCTGGGTGAGGGAACATCCTGGGGCTGCCACGTGTCCCTGGTTTCGGTAGAAGCCATTGGAGATCAGGGCTCTGGAGCATCTTCCTCCTCCCTCCCCAGCCGAGGGACGGGGTCAGGCCCCCCCAGGAGACACCCCACACTCTCTCCCCCTCTTTGCCTTCTCTCCAGCGTGGGCACAGCTTGCAGCCCCTCGTTTCCAGGACTTGCCTCTGCTGCCCTGCAGCACTGCTCAGTACCTGGACTCTCTGGGAAAGAGTCATCCGTCCCGGCGCGGCGGCCTTCCCCGGGCTTGGAGCGCGCTGCCAAAAAACAGAGAGAGGGAAACCTCAGCGTGGCTCAGGCACAGAGGGGGCAGAAGGAGGGTGCGGGGTCCCTCTACGCCGTGCCCCATCTGCCAGAGCATCCTTTGGGACCCCAGGTCACAGGAGGCATCCCCTGCTGCTCTTGTGCCTCCAGGACTCACGGCCATCTCTGGGGGGCAGGTCTCACGGGAGGTACGTCCCATCAAGAGTCCCATTTCCCACCACCTGCTGAGGGTGGTTCAGGGACCCTCCTTCCCCAAAGGGCAAAGTCCTGAAGCTCAGGTGAAGGGGCTGTGGTGGGACCTCCACACACCAGAGGGGACAGTCCTCCTCAGAGAGCCCTTCTCCGTGCTCACGGTGCCCTGTGCTGCCCCAGGACCATGGCTCTGTGCTCACAGTTGGGCTGCTGACACCCCCTGAGGTCGCAGCACCAGGGGAAGAGCCTGCAGACGCCCAGGGATTGCGATTCGGGAGGCTGGAGGACTGTGGGACAGCAATTACCTGTTGATTGAGTTGCCTCCATTTCTTCATCAGAGTCGGGCACTGCCCAACCCCCTCCTTCCCGGAGCGCCTTCTCGTCCATCGCTGTGGAGAGAAAGGAGGTCAGTTTAATTAGAAAGAATAGTTCCTCATCAGGAACATGGAGGCAACGCTTCTCAAAATACATGAACGACATTTAGAAACAAAGGTGGGGAATTTGGGGGTGCACCTCGTCCCTGCTACAATCAACACGTCCTTCATGGAGAACAATTTAAGCGCTGGACACTTTGGGGTTCACCCGTGCACACAAGAGCCCACAGTCCCCCCAAAGATGTGGGGAACCACCCCCAAGTTACCAAAGACACAACTGGGAGCAGAAATGCAAAGCCCCCCGAGATGGTCTTCGGGGGAGTTGGACTGGATGATCTCTGTGGTCCCTTCCAACTCTAAACCTTCAGTGCAATTCAGTGAAACACCTGCCCAGAACAGCTCTGAGGAGCCTCTGTGGAGGCTACGGCTTCTCCAGACAGGGATCCAAAACCTCCTCCTCCCCATCCCTCTGGTGCAGAGCGCTGTGTGCTCACCGTGTGCTGCCTTCCGCAACTCCTTCAGCAGCTCCTTCAGGATGCCCGATGACCCGTGAGAGGATTTCCTTCTCTCAGCTTTATCCTTTGCTCCATGAGGACCTTAAAGGAGAGCAGAGAGTTCAGTTTCTCACCAATCACAGACTGAAAACGAGCGCTTCGTCGGGGAAGTCAGAACTGACCACTCGCCCTGCGACGCCAGGGGAGCCCCAGCTGAGCAGCTGGAGAAGCCCTCTCTGTACCCACATCTGCCACCACAGACCCAGGAGAAGGTCCCATCAAGCCCTGGCACATCCACCCTCAGAGCTGAGCAGCAGACACGCCAGGGGAGCGCGTCACGGCAGGGCACACGGGATGCAGGTCTGTGCTCTGTAGAACAGAGACCCCCAAGAGATGCCTCGCTCCCACCCGGGCTTTGAGCTGGCAGCTCTGGAGGCACCTCCAAAGCCATGATGTCCCCCTGCCATCTCCCTGAGCCCCAGCCCGGGAAGTGGAGATCCGTGGCCTCCAGCCACGTCTGGAAACACACAGGACAGAGCAGCTCCCGTGAAAGAGCTCCAGAGGCTTCTTCCCATCTGCAGCTCCAACACGGGCTTGTTCTGCTCCCCCCAAAGCCTGCCCGGAGCTGTTGGGAGGAAGGACTCCCTGGAGCTCCCTCCAGCTCCAAACTCCATCCCAACCAGCCCGCTGGCTTCGCAGCAGGCACTGGAAGCGGCGCAGGGTGGGAGAGGCTGGGACACAACTCTTTGCAAGGCAGAGAGTCCCGGGGCACGTCCCTGAGCCTGACCCACTCCCTCTGGGCTCTGCTGCGTGCCCGGGCATCGGCCAAGGACGGACCCAGGCAAACTTCCTACCAACAGGTCCCTCAAACCTCAATGCTCCCTCCTTCCAGCCACAAACCTGTGGGGTGACCCTGAGGCTCCTGCACCAGACGCGGCTCCGAGGTCGGGTGGCCGTCGGCTCCAGCTGCAATGAAGCACGTTTCCATGAGATGTTGTCATCTCCCGGGGCTCTGTGTCCCACGGGACTGGCCCCAGGAGAGCCCTGCAGGGCTGGAGCAGGAATGCTCCTCTTGTCCTGAGCGGACACCTCCCCCGGACACACGTCCCCCAGGCTGAAAGCTGAGATCCAGCCGGGGAGCAGCAGAGCCACGGCCCCGGGACCAGCCTGGGGAAGAAGCTCCAGCGACGCCGCTCCGGCCCAGACCTGCAGGCTGGGGGAAGGCTGCTCCGGGGGGCACGGGGACGCTTTGGGGACAATTTCATAGAATCAGAGAATCATAGAATTGCCCAGGCTGGAAGGGACCTCCAAAGGCCATCCAGTCCGACCCCCCCACAGTCAGCAGGGACACCCCCAACCAGACCAGGTCGCCCAGGGCCTCATCAGGCCTCACCAGGCCTCTCCTTGAATATCTCCAGGGAAGGGGCCTCAACCACCTCCCTGGGCAACCTGTTCCAGTGCTCCACCACCCTCACAGTGAAGAACCCTCTCCTCATCTCCAGTTTAAATCTGTTCTGCTCCCCTCGTCCTGTCACTACAGGCCTTTCTAAACAGGCTCTCCCCAGCCTTCCTGTAGCCCCCTCAGGTACTGGAAGGCCGCCATTAGGTCTCCCCAGAGCCTCCTCTTCTCCAGGCTGAACAACCCCAGCTCCCTCAGCCTGTCCTCGTAGCAGAGGTGCTCCATCCCCCTGATCATCCTTGTGGCCCTCCTCTGGACCCTCTCCATCAGGTCTATATCCTTCTAATATTGAGGGCTCCAGACCTGCACACAATACTCCAGGTGAGGTCTCACCAGAGCAGAGTAAAGTGGCAGAATCCCCTCTCTGGACCTGCTGGCAACGCATCTTCTGATGCAGCCCAGGATGGGATTGTCCTTCTGGGCTGCAGCTGCCCACTGCCTGCTCATGTCCAGCTTCTCCTCCACCAGCACCCCCAAGTCCCTTTCCTCAGGGCTGCTTTCTAACCCCTCACCCCCCAGTCTGTGCTGATGGTGAGGATTGTTCCGGCCCAGGTGCAGAACCTTGCCCTTGCTCTTGTTGAACCTCATGAGGTTCACCTGGGCCCACCTCTCCAGCCTCTCCAGGTCCTTTTGGATGACATCCCGTCCCTCTGGTGGATCGACAACACCACACAGCTCGGTGTCGTTGCTCCACCGCTCTCCTGCCCCACCACCACCCCAGCCCCACGGCCACCCCACGGGCTGCCCACCTACCTAATTCCCGTGCCCTCCATGGAGCAGCCCAGGCCTCTTGGGCTGGAAGGAGCAGGAGGAAGAGGAGGAGGAGGAAGAGGCGCGTGGGGGTCACAGGCCCCCGCGCCATGTCCCTGCCTCTGCTGCTGATGCTGCCACTGGCTCTGACGCTGCCACTGGAGCTGACACTGACACTGGCTCTGCTGCAACTGCTGCTGCTGCTGCCACTGCCAGCACTGCCGGAGCACTGCCCGCGGCACCAGGATACCTTCCAGAGGGTCTCTGTGACCTCATCGCCTGTCCCTGTGACATCACTGCCCATCTGTGACCTCACTACCTGCCCGTGACCTCACTACCTGTCCCTGTTGAAACTGCTCAAAAGGAAGCAGTCTTTGAGAAATAAGGAGTTAAGATGTAAGCTGGGTTCCTTCTTTGAATCCCCTCTCTCCCAACAAGGTCGACAACACTCTTTTGCTGCTTCAAGACCATCATTGTGCTGGTCTCAGGACTACTCCCTACATTCCTGCCTTCCTCTCTCGTCACTTATCACAGCTCTGAGTAGTTGCAGGCCCCGTTTGTGGTCAGTCAGGCTACATTTGCTAGATCTTACCAAATCACGGAGGTGATAAATTGTCTGAGAGAACAGAACAAGTTGATAGGAAAGAACACCAGAACCATAAAATAACATGAAATGGTAGCCTCAGCAATTTTAGGATGAACCAAGGTCACTCCGACCTTGCCAAGTACACCAGGAAGCTACCCAAATTAGGAAGAGTTCAGAAGTTTAACCCAAGGAAGACTCACAAGACGATCCCCCACCCTGATGAAGGCACCAGAACTCCCACCAGACGACTCCCCAAAATGGAAGACTCCGCCTAGATAGGAATATGCGTGTAACGATAGGAATATGCGTGTAACGATAGGAATATGCGTGTAACGATAGGAATATGCGTGTAACGATAGGAATATGCGTGTAACGATAGGAATATGCGTGTAACGATAGGAATATGCGTGTAACGATATGAATATGCGTGTAACGATGATGTAACCCACACTCAAACTTGTATAAAAAAGCTGCACTGATTGCTAACGGGCGGAACTCTTTGTCCAGGGTGGCCTGGAGAGTTCCCCAACGCGTTGTTAATAAATACCTCCTGCTTATGGACTTGAAAACTTAGTCTCTGAGCAGTTTCTATCTCGCCTTTTGGGGCAAATTCGGCATCAGAGCCTGCGTATAGCACCTGAAAAATACGAAGCAAAAGGCACGTGCTGAGGTATTGCCCAGAATCTCAGCCTGCCTGCAGCAATTCCCATCTCCCATGCCTTTACCTTGGCTGTTTGCCCACCTGGTGCCCGTGATTTTGGGCTGCCACTTTGAGTCTTGTGCACTATCCGTGCAATGGAACCAAAGGACACTTAGAACTTCACCCACAATACAGCACCTGAAAAAGAATTAATACTTCAGCCCACTAGTCATTGCTCGCCTTGCCTAAGTCAAGCCTGCTCCTCAGAAACTGCTCTTCCAAGCCTTCTGAGCCATGTCTTCATCCTGTGGGCACCTCCCATCTTCTGTCTTCCCATGGGCTCTGTTAGACCCACAAAATAAGTGAAACCCTGACAAAAATCTACGAGGGGCCTGCCACAAACTGCAAAAGCTCTAGGGACACTGGTACTCTGTGGGCAACAGGGAAAGGTGATGAGCTGTACTGTACACTGAAAGACATTATGTCCTTGCTGCTTTCCTGAGAAATGCTTAAACTCCATACGCAGATGCACACAAGATGCTCACCCTAAACTCTGCTAGATAATCTCACTGTCAGTAAGATGGTGAAATCAGTAAGAAAAATGGTATCAGTAACTTACACAGTATACAGCAAACCTAGTGAAAAAAACCCCCCACAATTCATTCTTCAATAAAAATCAAGAATTGCAGGACAATGCAGTACACCTAGAATAAAGAAAAGCGTACTACCAGGCCATTTTGCCATCCTTAAATACTCATTACTGGAGTACTAACCTTAAAAAACCAACCAAACAAAAAAAACCCCCACCACCAGAGTTTAGCGCAGATGCACACAAGATGCTCACCCTAAACTCTGCTAGATAATCTCACTGTCAGTAAGATGGTGAAATCAGTAAGAAAAATGGTATCAGTAACTTACACAGTATACAGCAAACCTAGTGAAAAAAACCCCCCACAGTTCATTCTTCAATAAAAATCAAGAATTGCAGGACAATGCAGTACACCTAGAATAAAGAAAAGCGTACTACCAGGCCATTTTGCCATCCTTAAATACTCATTACTGGAGTACTAACCTTAAAAAACCAACCAAACAAAAAAAACCCCCACCACCAGAGTTTAGAAGAAAGCAAGCAGAGGATTTTGCTCAGCAGCAGCAGCAAACAGAGGAGTTTGCAAGCAAACGAAGCCAGCATGGAAGCATTCTCCTCTGTACGCTGTGGAGCCTCAGCAGGTGCCGAAGGCCTTTCTGAAGAGTTCTTAACTTTGCACCTCCAAACGCCCAAACAGAAAGGGGAACCATAGAGATGTGGCTCCCAGAGCCGCAGGAGCAGGACCCGTATTTCTCACCTGCCTTGAGTTCACAGCCGGCCAAGGACCAGACCTGGTTTTTTTCCATTTGGGAGTTCTGACTCCTCTCCAGCGATTATCGTGCCACTTGTTGCTGTGGAGAAGGTGTTTTTGTAGTTGCTGTTTTATTTCTGTAAACTTGACCATTTTCTGTACCGTTAGAGTGTTGGCAGCACGTTTTCTTGAGAAGAACCACAAACATTTCTGGTGTCCTGGAGGACCGAAAGGCCATAGAGATGTACTTCCGGAGGACTGGCGGGCACTTGTGGCATCCTGGAGGAACGAAAGAGCCATAGAGATGTACTTCCGGAGGACTGATAGTCACTTTTGGCGTCCTGGCCGACCGAAAGGCTATAGAGATGTCCTTCCGGAGGACTGATGGTCACTTTTGGCGTCCTGGCCGACCGAAAGGCCATAGAGATGTCCTTCCGGAGGGCTGATAGCCATTTCCAGTATTCTGGGGGCCGGAAGGATCATAGAGATGACCTTCCCGGGGACTGTCTGGCACCTCGGGGGGCCCTGTTCGCGGCAATATCCGCTATCAGAGCGCTGATGTCCGTTCTCGGGCTGGGGAAACGTCACTTTTGGCGTCCTGGCCGACCGAAAGGCTATAGAGATGTCCTTCCGGAGGACTGATGGTCACTTTTGGCGTCCTGGCCGACCGAAAGGCCATAGAGATGTCCTTCCGGAGGGCTGATAGCCATTTCCAGTATTCTGGGGGCCGGAAGGATCATAGAGATGACCTTCCCGGGGACTGTCTGGCACCTCGGGGGGCCCTGTTCGCGGCAATATCCGCTATCAGAGCGCTGATGTCCGTTCTCGGGCTGGGGAAACGGACCTTTCAAAGCTGCACACACCACCTGCCTTGCCACCACAAAGGCTGACTTCTTACAAACACCTATGACACTATGACTGCCAGACAGAGCCACGCTTTAAGGTATAATCGCAGGACAAGAATGGCTAAATCGGCACTGTGCTGATGTGGTGATGCGGTCTAGACTCTCCAGCGAGCTACCAAAGTACCTGCTGATCACAAAAGAGCTACGGAGACCTCAAGACAGAAGGAAGATAATTTACAGGAACAATGAGGACATCATAACCTGAAAAACCTCTAAGACACAGCAGACAGACCACACAAACTACACAACAGACACCGACTGGAACTGCCCTGCCTGGTACACGATGGCTTCAGGCCGAGCAGAAACCCACCGCCTCTATTTACCCAGAAGGGACTGCTCCGGGACAGCCCCCTGCCCCTCTCTGACTTTAAAACCCCTCCCCGTGACTCCCAACCCTGTACCTTCCCTCCCCCGAACAGTCTCCAGCGCCAGACCCTCAACTTAGCTTTCAGAGGGCCAGGAGTCTGATGCCATCCTCCACAAGGAAAACTACAATTGCTCATCCACCACTCCTTGTGGTGCCTAAAAAACCAAGCGACACAAAACCACCATTGAACGTGCAAGGAATCTCCAGCCCCAGGTGCCTCCTCTCTACTTCCC